ATGGCGCCGGCAAGACGGAAGACAAGCTGTATACGTTCGAAGACGACAAGGAAGAGGAGGAGGCTGGAGATGCGGATGACTATGTGACGGAGGCTGGGACGGCCGGTGTGGTTGAGAGCGATAAGGAGGATGACTGGGCGGCGGAGGACGTGTATGAGCAGGAGGTTTGAGTGCGTTTTGAGGGCGCATTCGCTTGTGATTCCGTCGCATCCGCATTGATTGACTGTATTTTTTCTGTATCCTTATCGCTTTCGCAAGTTCACCTGTTTCTGTACTATACCTCCTCTTTGATAGCATGCGTAGCATTGGGCTCGATATTCCTGAATCGCTCAGCACTGCTAGTGTGCGCGTGATTGCTAAACTGCATATCTTCCAGCCAATGAAGCTAATGCCTGAGCGACGATTGCGAGTATTTCTCGTACACGGATACAGAACTAAAACCTGAGGCGAAACATAACTGAGTCAAACCCCCACTAATAACGCAGCGTGCTATCTAATAGCCCCGCGACAACATAGTATCAGGCAACTCAAAACAACCGGTATGATGCCGTATACATGAGTCATTCACCAACTGTACCATCCCTTCATCTCCCTATGCAACCTTTACAGAAAGTCCCTCTCTGCCATAAGCTCCGTATTGTCTTAAGTATGATCACACCTCTCATCCACAACCTCATAAACGTGCTCACTCAGCTCCCTCAACATCTCGCTCTCATAATCACCATCTAAGCTGGGCTCCATCGCAGACCTCGCTCCGCGCAATACCAACTTCGACACGGGCACTCCCGCCTCTTTCCGTCGCTCCAAGATTGAGTTTGCCGCATAAAACCCTCCCCTCCTCCACGCCGTGAACTCGTCAGAATTGATGCTCTTTAGCACAAGTGTCTCGAGCGCGGGGAATAGTGGAGGCGCGCGAAGGCTCAAATAATTTAGAGACAAGAGAGGTCCACCAATTCCGAAGTTTACACGGAGCTCCTTGAGATCTGTCAGCCGCGCGAGCTGTACTACCGTCTCCTCCGCTATGCTTCCCGCAAGATCGAAATCAAGTATGCGGATGCGCGTATGGTCTGCGACCGCAAATAAATGCTCAATCATAATGGTTGTGAACATTGGCGTAACTCTGCACGCGGTCCAGATGCCCACGCAGTGTCGCAGTCCAGAGCACGGAGTAGAGGAGGAAGAGAGGCTGACTCCTGAAGTGGGCGCAGTGCGTGCACGTACTGTTAGCGTATCACCGCTTTCGCGCTGCAGTTGGGTCGCCAGCTCTGTGAGAAGTTCGCTAAGGCCTTCAAGCGTAAACAGGGTTCCCAAGAAGCGCAAGGAAACATCGGGATGTGGTCGAATAAGTTTCCAAAGGGAGCACAGGTCCAGAAAAGGAACTTCCGTTGAGCCCAGGGATACATTAACGAGGTGCGGCAGAGAAAGTGTTTCTAGATCGCGTGAAAGGCTAGCCAGCATTGGAGGTCCATCTTCTTGATTCCACTGCACGTCCAACGTTTCCAGGAGGGGAGTGCTCCGCAGGATGTTATACAAGGTGTCGGCTGGGATGCGCTGGCGAAAGAGCCTTAGGGTAACGAGGCTCGGCGCGGAGAAAGCAGTATAATCCGAGAGCTCCATGGAGTTGACGAGACAAGTATACATCTCGTACACTATTTCTAGATGACGGAGGCTCGGGAGTGCCTTGCCCATAAGAGCATCAAGAATGGTGCCGCTAAGACGCGAAGCTTGCTCTCCTCTCACAGAAGTGCGCACATTTTCTATATCAATAGCGGAGCCTGGCTCAGGAGTGACCCAGGGTCCGCCGTAAGACCCCAACGATTGCTTCTGCGCTTTGAAATTGGGGAATGCAAAGGTTATGCGATGGATTTGTTGCGAGCGCTGCCCTGCGACATCCACAATCGCCTTTCTCAGCGCGTCTGTCTCAAGTATGGTTGGATTTTCAGAGGCGTATTCGGGTTCCGTGAGCTCGAGCGTCAACCGCGCGTCGCATGCTCGCTCCAGAACGGTCGGGATGGCTTTGGGCAATGCGCAGATAGACTGAGCCCACAGTGGCGCACACTCGTTTATAGCAACTCGACGCCAGTGAGAGCATACATGAGCCGCTACGATCCAGCCAAGCTTATGGTCGATGTCCTTCCCCACAGGGTAGATCGCGCAAAGACGGCGGAAGATGAGGAAGAGCAGGTCGCTGGGAAGCTTATGGATCGCGGGCCTTTGCTCGCTCAGCACAGCGTCGTTCGTACCGCCCATACTCGGGTGAGTGAGAGCGCGCTATGCTGGTGATGATAGAGGCGGGAAATTGGTCGTGGACGTTCAATGCAAGTCAGAACGAGCTTCCGCCGCTGACGCGCGCGCGTCGCGCGCGAGTCGCACGCATGTGTACCTCTCGTTTCCTTCCGCCATCACCTTGGATTTCGTGATCTCATCCAGCCATGCTTTCTCCTAGTATGATAGTGCGCTTCTATATGGCTTCTGTCGACTATGGCTGTATCCTCGAATTGCTGGGTGTCGTTTGAACCAGCATACTTAGGGCCGCCTGCCACAGCCATTCCGATGGCGTCTCAACGATCTCAACCTCGATGATGCGCTTCGACAGTGGACGTCTAGACTCTCGTGGCTGAATAACTTACGATCACAGTTGGCGATATCTGCGCAGTACTAGTGTGTGGTGGTACTGTTATCATGTTTCTCATATTATTGACGACTTTGCACATCTGTATGTCTTCGGCGATAGATACAATACACAGAGTTGAAGCATGGTCAATACTATATTTGTATTAATACACTTGCTTCACCTTTAATCACTGAAGTGATGCCCTCAATCGCGGGACATCCGTACATCGATACAGTGAACAATATCCAACCAAGAAATAAACCGGCATAGTTCAACACCCTCCTCTCACAAGGACTCCTCGTCAACCGCATCCTACATGATCCTCCCAACATGATCGCACCTCTCATCTACCACTTCGCCCACATGCTCACTCAGCTCTCTCAACACCTCGCCCTCATCGTCATCAAATGACTCGGACCCAATCGCAGACCTTGCCCCGCGCAACACCAACTTCGACACGGGCACGCCTGCCTCTTTACGTCTCTGTAGGAAGGCCCTAGCCATGGCACGCCCCTCCGCCTTCCACGTTGTAAACTTGCTGAGGTTGATGCGCTTCAGCACAAGTGTCTCGAGCCCGGGGAACAGCGGAGGTGCGGGGTCAGGAAGGCTCAGGCTGTTTAGCACAGCGAGCGGTCCTTTAGTGTCGAAGTCGACACAGAGCTCTTTGAGCTCGGTCAGCCGTGCGAGCTGTACTACGGTCTCTGGCGCTATTAGCTTCCCGGAATCGAGATTGAGTATGTGGATGTGCTCGTGGTGTGCCACTCCAAATATGTCTTCGATCAAGTGCGCAAAAAATACTGGAAATGCATGACATGCAAACTTGACATCCACGCAGGGTTGCTTTCTGAGGCGTGCGGAAGACTCGGAGGAAGAACAGAGGCTGAAGCCCGGTGCGGCTGTAGATCCCCGTATTGTTAAGGTGTTACCGCTTGCGCGCTGCAGCTGCGGTGCGAGCCCGCTGAAGAGTTCGCGGAGAGGTGTGCTCGGAAATCCCCACAATGACAGACCAACATCTGGGTGTGGACGAATGAGCTTCCAGAAAGGGCAAAGATCCTGAAGATGGACGTCCCCGGAGCCGAGGGAAACATCGGAGAGGTGCGGCAGGAAAAGCAACTCAGGATTGCGCGGGAAGTTGGCCAGCATCGGTGACGCATCCTCGTAAGCCCATTGTACCTCGAGGGTCTCGAGAAGGGGTGTGTCTCGCAAGATATGATACAATGTATCAGCCGATATACGTTGGCGGTAAAGCCTAAGGGTAACGAGACCCGGCGCGGAGAAAGCGGCGTGGTCTCTGAGTGCCGTAGGCTTGACAACGCAGTAATACATATTAGCATAGACCAATTCCAGGTGACGGAGGTTCGGGAGTGCCTTGCCCATAAGAGCACTCAGGGCGACACTGCTGAGAAGTGAAGCTTCATTTCCTCTCGCAGCCGTGCGCACATTCTCCAAAGCCAAAGCCGAACCAGGTTCGGGATCGCCAGCAATCTCCTCATCATCAGGAATTGCTTCACCAAATATGACTGCATTTGGCCCCAATGGCTCCATCCGATATTGGAAATCGGGGAATGTGAAGGCTACGCGGCGAAGTTGGTGCGAGTGTTGCGTTATGATATCCATGATCTCAGTTTTCAGCGCGTTCGACTCGACTGGAGTAGGACTTTCCGAGGCGTATTCGGGTTCCGTGAGCTCGAGCGTCAAATGCGCGTCGCGCGCGCGCTCCAGGATGGTCGGGATGGCTTTAGGCAAAGCGCAAATGGATTGAGCCCAGAGTAGCGCGCATTCATGTATGGCGACTCTTCGCCAGCGAGAGCATACGTGCGTCGCTGCGATCCAACCCAGTTTGTTATCGCCATCCTGACCCGTAGGGTCAATCGCGCAGAGATGAAGAAGAATCAAGTAGAGGACGTCGTCAGAGATCTTATGTATGGCGGGCATGTCGCGCTCATTCGGCACGGGTTCATTCGTATTGCTCATGTTCGAGTGCAAAAAAGTGCGCTAGGATGGATATGCGGGGACACGGACGTGGACGTTCAGTGCAAGTTGTGATGGTCGGCAATGTGCCTCATTGCATGCGCGTGCTTCCTTGAGCGCTGTTGTTTCCCATGCGCCGTCGGCATCTTTCAGTACGCGAGATTATCAAGCTACCAGTCTTGCACGAGGAAAATCAGCCCTGTGGCACCATATGATAGACGTGGCACCATTTATGGTCTGTCGGTCAGCTGATTAGTACAGTGTCAGCTCGCAATTGCCATACATACCTCTCAAATGCACCGGGATTGAGATTCTCACTCATCTTAAGCTGGCTTGAAGAAATACCGCATGAATTGCCTCAATTTGCACATGAATCTCGCGTAAAGGGCCAAAATTGTATGTCAACACAACAAACTTCGGATACGGGGAATCGAACCCCGAGCTGCCGCGATCTCTTGAGAGGCGGCAATGTTAGCCGTTACACCATATCCGAGTTGAAGAGGGTGTCATTAGAAAAATCATGTTGTGTTTACAACTCGAGTGAATGTCATCACATTAAATGCCGTTCTGTTAAGGTTAATTGAAGTTGCAGATTCACAATTGATACATGACAAGGTTCGATACAGTAACATCCATAGAACTCCTCAATCCACCCGCTCATCAACAACCTCACTAACAAGCCCTCTAACAACCTCCATCCCCAGCCTATCCACATCCTCCAAACTCTTCCCATCCGCCATCCCCATCACCCTCCTCTCCTTCCTCCCCGTGAGCCTTACACAATCAACCTCCGCTCCCTGTTTAGCCCTCCCCTTCAAAAACAATCCTGCGACACCCCACTTCTCCGTCCCTTCCCCATCCTCGTCGCGATCGGTAAGCGTGAGCGTGCCCATGCTCGGGAATATCGGGTCTTCATCTTCGTCTTGGACTGAAATGGCGAGTTGTGCGAGGACGGAGCGTGAAGAGAAGGGAGTGGATAGTTCGACTATTGTGTCGAATGAGGAGAGGATCGATAGGGCGGATGGAGAGAGATTGACGACGTCGAGGTGGAGTGTGTCTAACCAGCTCGAATCGATGAAGCGGAGAAACGCGTCCAGTAAATCCGACGGCGTGGTAGTCGAACCGGAAGCACGGGTAGTCGTTACGGATAAAGATGGAGAGTGTGCTGAAGGACGTTTAGAGAGCATGCGGAACGTGAAGGTGTCGGATGTAGTGGATAGTGCGAGCGAATGTAAACCCGCGCGATAGAATAACGGAGAGAGCGCTGTGAGTGCGCTTTGAAAGTCGCGTGCGTCGTTTGTTTGGGCGTGGAATGAAGCGCGCACGTCCCGGTGCGTTATGAAGAGCTTCCAAACGGCTAGAACGCTGGGAAAGTCGTGCGCTGATAGCGAGAGGTCGGTGAGGTTTGGCATGTGTAAAGGCGCGCCGGCGTTGGCTAGCGGAAGGCATATGAGGGATGGCGAGTCGGATGGGTGCCAGTCTATGGATAGGGATTGTAGTTCGGGTGAAGAGCGTAGGATATCGTAGAGTGTATCCGCGGATATGCGTTGTTGTGATAAGCGAAGTGAGACAAGTTTGGGCGCGGTGAAGGCGGTCGATGTGCTTAGTGGGGCTGGGGACGCAGAAGCGTAGGGTGCGTAGGATAGGTCTATGTGCTTGAGAAGGGGCAGGTCTTTGCCTGATAGAGCGTCGATTAGGGCGGCATGAAATATGGCGCAGTTCTCCGCGCGAGTTGTGGCGTCGGCTTCGGAAGAGGGAAGTACGACGCAGATACGTTCAAGTCGTGGAGCATGACGAGTGACGAGGTCTAGCAAATCCTGAGGCGTGCTCTCCCAACGACCCCAGTCATTCGGTTCGATCAGGATGGACAAGGGAGCATCGCGCGCGCGTTCAAGAAATACGGGAAGCGCCTTGGGAAGCGCGCAAACGCTGGATCCCCAGAAAGACGCAGATTCCGCGTCCAGAGCGACACTCCTCAATCTGCGGCACGTATGCGTCAAAGCCACCCAACCCAGCTGAGACTGTGACTGGGGCCCCGAGGGGTAGTTGTAATTCGGATAGTCTCGACCGGAGGGATAGACCTGGGTAACATCGCGGAAGATAAGACGAAGCAAAGGATCAGGAAGCCTCGTTATAGGCGAGGCTGTTTGTGCGGTTTCTGGTACGGCTTCTGCCGGGGCTGACATAGTGATGGGCGATAGAGAGAAGAATGTCAAGTGGCGATGTGATTGGCGCTGCGAATGACGCGGGGCGTGGGGGTTGTGGGTCCATATGGGTGTACTAATACCGTTCGCCTTGTGAGTCTCAGCGTACATTTGCACCATGTAGCGACATGCACGTCTGGGAAAGAAATATCTGGTGCCACATTGTGGGCGAGAGCCCGCTCTGATAAAATCCTAGAAAATATTGGGAGAGACGAGCTGACCGGCAAGTGCCGGAGAACGCGCGTGACCTGACTTTGAGGTTAGGGTCAATCAAAACTGCAAGACGCACGCGCGCCAGACTCGCGTATCGAGCTCAACGCGCCGCACGACGACCTCAACCCCTTCAAAATGTCCAAGAGTGCGTTCCCATTTGCTACACAATATACTGAAATGCTGACCCCATGATCCAGGTACGCAGCATCTTTATATCTACCCATATATTTCATCTAATATCCCACTTCGTCCTCACCAGCTACCGCGGCCGGCAACAAGTACCGTATCACGCTCGGTCTGCCTACGGGCGCCGTGATCAACTGCGCGGACAACTCGGGAGCCAAGTCGCTCTTCATTATTGAGCCCTTTGGCTTCGGTTCGCATTTGAACCGTCTTCCCGATGCTGGTGTCGGTGACATGGTCGTTGCGTCGGTGAAGAAGGGAAAGCCCGAGCTCAGGAAGAAGAGTGCGTATTAATTTCTTATATCATTGGGAAGATTGGAGGGGATTTGGAGATGGCGATGGGATATGGGATGGTCGAGATTGGATAGAGGCTGATTGGAATATTTGATAGCCATGCCCGCCGTTGTCATTCGTCAGCGCAAGTCCTGGCGCAGGAAGGACGGTGTCACCCTCTACTTCGAGGTGCGTATCTCCCTCATCCCTTCCAGTCTATCACAAACTTATATATAATACAGGACAACGCCGGTGTGATCGTCAACCCGAAGGGCGAGATGAAGGGCTCCGCCATCACCGGCCCCGTCGCAAAAGAGTGCGCCGACCTCTGGCCGCGTATCGCGTCAAACGCAGGCACCGTCGTATGAGCATCTCCATTCCGCTCTCTTCGTACTGCTTCTGTGTTTTTGATCGCTCCTGATTCTCTCTTCTGCTGGTTCCCGATGTCGTTGTACCAATCCCATGCCTGCCGCAACAATATGACATTATGACCATGGCGCTCTGTATCATGCGTTTTTCACTGGATGGCTCGATTGACTGATCTGAGAGAAAATCTGGTATATGAATAATGGAACGCAAACAAGGTATAATGACGGTGGTATACATGTGAATTTCTAACTCATGCATCGTCGCACATCGCTTCGTCAGCCATCTTACTGACCATCATAAGCGCCTCCAGAAGACTGGGAACCACAACTTCCTGAGTTGGTGCAGCGACTTTACTCTGTGCCGCGTGTAGCCGCTGTCGCAGCAACAAGCATCTCTCTTCCAAGAGACGCTTTTGCTCTCTGTACGCCTCTGCCTCCTGCCGCGCGTATTCCAGCTGCTCTCGTAAACGAGCATTCTCATCCTCTACCGATGATCCATTTGCGATCGCGTTCTGGGACTTCTGTGGCTCGGGACATATAGGCGACGGCGGGTAATCGACCAACGATTTCGAGGGTGCGTCCATACAGATGTCTTCATCTTTGTTCTCCTCGTCCTCAGAGTCGGGGTAGATGAGCTGGAGGTCGTCGTCGTCATCGCTGTCTGTCCCGGATTCGGATGAACCAGCTGTCACGCTCTCGGGCGCAGGTGACGGGGAGGTGAATGTGATCAAGTTTGCCAGCGCGGGCGCGGGCGAGGGAGAAGTGATGGTTGTTGAGCATGTCGGAGCAGCCGCCTGAGGCATCATAGCGGTAAACGGTGTCGAGCTTGACGACGCTGGCGATGGCGAGGCGAGAGATGCCAACGCTGGTGTAGGCGCAGGCGACCGAGATGGCTGCGAATAGATGGAAGCCCGAGCGAGCGGCGTCGCGCCCGGAAGCGGGACCGTCAACTCCTTACGCAACTTATGCCTAACAATCCCGTCTCAGTACACATACCACCTAACTTCATGATCGCAATCACTCACAGAACGACACTCTCAACGCCCTCCTTCCTCATAACCTCCACATCCCTCCCCAAACTCCTAACCTTGCCCACAAGCACACTCGTGAAATCACTATCGGCCCACGTATGCCATACAGCCATCACCACTTCCCTCCCATCTTCGTCTGTGTCGGGGTAGATGTTTTTGTCGGACGGTGGTGGGAGGTTTAGAGCGCGGAAGGATTGAGGGAGGCTTGACGAGGAGGGCAGACGCGAGGGCGTGTAGTGAACCGTAGCGTGTAGACGGACGGGGAGGCAGGTTTGGAGGGTGTGGCGGTGTTCGTGCGGGCGCGACATCGTTCGAAGTCTGGGAAGGTAAGGTGGCGAATAGTGGGATGACCTTGAGAGGAGAGGCTCGTTGAACTATTGTGCTGAGCTGTATATAAGCCGGACGGGAAGTATGGTCCAAGCGATACATGGACCCGGTTTCGGATAGCCGGAAGTGCAAAGAGCCCATTGTTCGTGCAGGAGATAGGGGTTTGCCGGTCAATGCTTCTACAATGCTCATTGTTTGCGGTGGCGCTGAGTTTCGGGATGTGGTCTGAGCTCCGCCGCGGGGGTCGGTGACAAACGAAGCTTTGTGGTTCGCGGCATGTGGCGAGGGGCGAACAAAGAAAAGCTATCGAGCGGCAATTGCCGAGTTGCACGTTCAAGCTTAGTACTTGTACCATGAATTGCCCTCTCTGTAGCTTACATACAGCGTACATGAATTACTTCGCACTACGATCTCGGATCAAGAACACGCAATAAAGTATACATCAACACACTTCACAACTCGGAGTCCTTTGGCTCTTTCTCTTCGACTCCTGCCCGTTCTCTCTCTCAGGCTGGCCCGCTATCCACTGCATCGAAGGTGCCTTCTTCAGCGCTGCGCAAGGATGGGCTATCCGGGAGCCTTTCATCATCGCGAATGCTGGAGGGGAGAGTACGCGAACTTCTCGAGGTCTCTCCATCGTGACTATCACTGGGACTCGGCGGAAGGGGCACTCGTAAGGCGGCAGCGATCACAAGAGAGGTAGTACTGGTGGCGGCTGTCCCGACTGTGGCATGATCGCCAGTGTCGATTCGGCCGGGAGACGTGATTGATCCGTCCGACTCTCGCTTGAGCGAGAAGAGGAGCTCGATATTCTCCAGTGTCTGGTAAGCTTCGATCAGCTCCGAACTATCATATAGTATCTGGTAAGCTTCGATCAGCTCCGAACTATCATGT